AGAAAGAGAGAGAGAGAGAGAGAGAGAGAGAGAGAACCATTAAATTAAAACGAAAAGTTAAAATACCTTCTATTCCGGAATGATAGATTCCAAGCCCAACCCAATAAAGATAGTTGTTTATAGGAGTAAGATCGTATACGTTTAGATAAAGCATAGCCTGACTTTTCTCTGCATTGTTCTGTTCAGCCGGTGAAATATCTAAGCTGGATGAAATTGGGAACAATCTCATCGTATGTAACACCAAGCGACAGTCCAACAACCAGTGCACCAAAAAGGAGTATATTTAAAAGTATCTCCTAAAATTCAGCTCAAACCTCCAGTATTTGATATCCTGAAAAGCCATAATAGAAGTTCAAATAAATAAAAAAAGAAAAACTATTGCCATTTTTGTCCAACAGATCACACAAATAATCTCAATACAATGATGATTAAGCTAATTTCTCCATGCTTTTAGTGAAGTGTTCCATAGTCCATACAGCAACGGACTCGATTCAAATAAATAAACAAAACGAAGAACACAAACACATACTTAAGGATTTAATTGTATCAGATAAGGCAATTGATTTATCCAACTAAACCAGCAATGATAGATCATGGATGAAATGATCTGTTAACCTGCATTCTGGCAGTGATCTCCTGGAAGCTTTTACAATCTACTAATGCCTAATCCTTCAATCATATAAACGAAAAAAACACCATTAATTGGCGAGGGAAATTATCTTCAATTTACAAATCCCGGAAAAGAAATCGCCAATAATAACAACACAATCACGCCCAAACAACATGAAATTTGATGAGGAAAAAACCAGAACAAAATGATCGGACGCAGATACATTCTCTAAGTTCAATAGACAATACTTGAAGCAAGACAACAGAAAGAGGAGCTCACCGTAGAGAGTATCGCCTCCAGAAAACGGCGGAGGCTGCGATAAACTACAACGAACAGAAACACGCAGTCTCCGGTGGGGGCGTGTGCACGACCGTAGACGGGAACCTTCTCGCGGTTGTGAAGGCCTTCAGGCGCGCCGGAGATATGCACTCGCGGCGTAGATCGAAGGGGAGTGCGGCGAAGGTTGAAAAGGGGGAAAAATGATACGGATCGGTGGATATGAGTATGGCGTTGGTGAGTTGTTTTTTTCTTTTCTTTTCCTTTTTTTTTTTCATTTTTGGTTTTAAACTGTAACGTTGACAAAGGTCAACGGGTAGATTTGTTTGGAAATGTTATGACCCGGCCCATACCATAGCAAGATATGTCTGGAATTTCCAGTGGCCAAGGGCCGCCGGGACCGTCCACTCGGTACGGACATGGCCCGGTCAAATCCGTTGACTGCGTGTCTGGGATCGGATTGGATTTTCGAAGGGTCGTGTCAGGGTCATCTATTTCATGACTCGACCCGGTGGGTTCGAGTCGGTCTGGGCTGATGACCCGCTTTCTTTTTTTTTTTCTATTGTTTTTTTAATAAAATGCCGGCCCCGGCCCGGCCCGGCCCGGCCTCAGACTCCGACCCGGTCAATTGGGTCATTGACCTGGCACGAGTATAGGTCCGTGGCGGGTACGGGTCATTGTTTTAAAGCCCAGCGACGCAGCGGGCCGGGCCGGGCTGGGCCGGGCCGGGTTGTGACTCGGTCCCAATTTTGGCTACGTCTATCTGGAAATGTTAGGACCCGGCCCATATGACATGGCAATTTGGGTCATAACTGCCATTTCATGAGTGTTATTCGAATCGAGTAGAATCGAGCGACACATCAGACATGTTAAGTTTGTGCTCGTTTAATAAACTAGTCGACGTTTAACTAATATGCAGCCCGTAAATAATATTTAGCTTAGATTATTATTTTAAATATTGATTTACTCACAAGGAGTCTAAATTTTATGAGTAACATTAAGCTTTAATTTGTGAATCGAAGATTGAGTTGCAAAAAGGAGTTTATATGTTATAGAACTATTACATCTTTTTTTTTTCAACTCATTAATTATTTAATATCATCCATTTTTCAATACTATGGAACTTATTTTGATGGTGAATCCAAAAATTATCACCAAAGAAAATTGTATTATTGGCTCTCGTTCGGAAAAAAATAAAATTATATTAAATGCGAGTCATTGATTTATAAAAAGATGCCTTTTTTAAAGTTCGTTTTCTGAAAAAAAAAAAAAAATGTGATGATTGTTTTGAATTCAAGATAAATATATCTATATATAAATATTACGAAAATTTCGGTATCAACTCATGAGTTGTCGAAAAGATTTGGTATTTAAATTTTGTCAAATTAAAGAATAACTATGTTACGAAAATTATGTTTGTTAAAGAAGTAAGAAAATAAAAATAATAGAAAAATATTTAATTTTGAGATAAACTTTAAGGGATTTTATTCATAATTTCAATGGCATACAAGAGTTTGCAATTCAAATTATTTTCAAAATTTCATATTTAGTAAAAATACAATTTTTAGGTGAGATTAGGTAAATCATTAGCCCTTTTATATATTAATGAATGAATGGATAAGTGAATAAAAGGTTGTGTTCGCGCTTGGCTTGTTTATGATCACGAAAACTCAAACTGGCTTAGATCATTTAATAAATATTAAACCGTAAATGAGTTGTTCTAACTCAAAACATTTGAACGCAAACAAGTTCGACCGTCGACTGTTTTATCTAAAATGATAAAAAAAAAATGAGATGTTTGGAAATAAACTCGGTTTGATTCATTTCGAGCATCTTTTTAATGTAAACAGATGAGTAGAGTTTGAACTTTTACGAACTGAATAAAAATGTTTTCTCGAACAACTCAGTTCAAATAACACTATAATTGATTGTAGTTTTGGTTCGAATACTAAAGGAGGTGTATTCGTTTGAGATTTTTAAATACTTTTTGAAATTTTATAAATCTTGATGTATTTTAATTTTGACTTACTAAAATATGTTAAGATTTTTTAAAATTTACTCAGATCTAGACTTAAGATTTTTAAGAATCTCACTAAATAAACAAACCTTAAGAAATCTTAGTTTTAAAAATTCTTAAAATGTCACTTAAAATTTAAAACGAATACACCCTCCTAATGTGTGATTGGTCGACGTGATTCATTAACCTCAATGGATACGACTGTTAAAAACCCCGACCCTTTCCCCTTTCTCCAATAAGAAGGTAAGTAAACAAGCCGCCCGTGAGCTTTGCTTGGCTAACATTACGGTTCGAGCTCAACTCGATTATTTTGACAAACGAACTGAGCTTGACTCACCTCGTTAAGACTCGCTAGATTTGAAAAAATGTTTTTTTTTTCCCGTAATTTCCTAATCTCGACTTGATAAGGACTTGACCCTGAACTCGAGTATCAGAAGCTCTACAAGTTGGATCAACTTAACTAATTTGATAATTTTTTAAGGACTTGACCCCGAACTCGAGTATAGCTCTGCAAGTTGGATCAACTTAACTAATTTGAGAATGCACCCATTTCTCAATCGGTAGTTATTTGTTGAGCCTAACCGCCTAACATAATTATTAGGCCGACATGCTTTTCTAAAAAATGTACAAACTTTGTTAAAGATGTTAAACTTCAAAAATAAAATAAATTAATATATTACATTTGATATATAAGTATTATTATTTACTCATAAAAATGTGATATACTTTACTAGACTAATTGTTGCAACATCCGAAACAAGAAATTGTGTTTCGAAATTGAGGTAATTGCTAAATAAACTTTAACCTTTTTTGCGTTTGGCAATTTTATCTCAATCTTTAGGTAATTGCAATATAATCTCGACCTCAACTTACTTATTGCAAGTCGAACTTAGAACCGGTTTGACCTTCAAAAAACTGGTCGATTTGAAGGCGGTTCGAACAGATCGGAGCTCATATTTACCGGTTCACTCCAGATTTAGGAGAAGACTCATCACCGGTAGCTTACATTGACGTGGAATTTTTGGCTTTGTGCGTGAATATACATTAAATACGTGGAAATTATCAACTTGCTACGTGGATGGCATAAATACTCGTGTCAATAGAATACTTGGACACAAAATCGATCCACAAATCCCTAAAATCAATCACTCTGTAACTAAATTTGCAATAAGTAAATTGAGGTCGAGATTATATTGCAATTACCCAAAGATTTGGATAAAATTGCCAAACGCAAAAAGATTAAGATTTATTTAGCAATTAACCCTTCAAATTTACTTAATCGAAAGAATAGTGTTGTAAATTGGAACTCTTCTGTATTCACCAAGCATCCACCAATCAACCAACATAAAGATGTGCAGTAAAGAGAACAAGAGAAGAGAAGTAGAAAAGTCTGTAATCTTATTCATCGGTATAATCACCCTTTTATAGGGTTTACAAGAGGGAAGCCCTACAACCTAATTTTTCTATCTAATGGACTTCAGGCCCAATTATATATTAGTAATGTCCATATTAATGTATTTATAACACTCCCCCTTGGACATTACTACATGCCTCATTAAAAACTTTGCTAATAAAAACCCGACAGAGAAAAAGATTAGTCAAGGGAAAAAGAGTACATGGTTTATAAAAATTCATGTGTTTTACTAGTTGCCTCGTTAAAAACCTTTAACTAATAAACCCATTGGGAAAAACTTAGTTAAAGAAAAAAAGAGTACAACATTTGGTCTTCAGGACCTAATCTCAGGATTATTTTGAGTTTTTCCCTCCCCCTGAAGACAACAGTCTTCTCAGTTTACGCATACCAATACCATAAATGTATTTTTCAAAAGTAGATGTAGGAAGGGATTTGGTGAATAGGTCTGCCAAGTTCTCGCTAGACCTTACCTTTTGTACAATAATCTCACCGCTCTTATGGAGCTCGTGTGGGTAAAAGTATTTTGGAGCAATGTGTTTTGTCATGCTTCCTTTGACATACCCACTACTCATTTGTAAAACACAAGCTGCATTGTCCTCATACAGGACAGTGGGGATTATATCATTTGTCATTCCACATGATCCACGAATATGTTGGATTAAAGATCTTAACCATACACATTCGCGTGAAGTCTCGTATAAAGCAATTATTTCTGAATGGTTTGAAGATGTAGTAACCATGGACTGCTTGACCGACTTCCAAGAGATTGCAGTACCACCACAAAGAAAAACATAACCAGTCTGTGATCTAGTATTATGGGGATCAGACATATAACCAGCATCCGAATAGCCCACTAATGTCATATCTTGATTTTTCTTATAAAGTAAACCTAGATCTTGTGAACCTTGAAGATACCTAAAAATATGTTTAATACCATTCTAGTGTCTCCTCGTAGGAGAAGCACTAAACCTTGCTAGCAAATTTACTGCAAATGCAATATCAGGCCTGGTGCAATTTGCAAGATAAAGTAACGCGCCAATGGCGCTCAAATAAGGAACTTCTGGTCCTAAAGTTTCTTCGGTATCTTCTTTAGGTCTAAATGGGTCCTTATCCGCTTCAAGGGATCGAACAACCATTGGTGTGCTAAGTGGATGAGATTTATCCATGTAGAATTTTTCTAAAACCTTCTTCAAGTAGGTTGACTGGTGTACAAATATTCCTTCAGGGAGATGCTCGATCTGCAGGCTGAGACAATATTTGGTTTTACCCAAATCTTTCATTTCAAACTCCGTCTTTAGGCATAAGCTAGCTTTATCAAGCTCCTCTCGTGTGCCAATTATATTTATGGCATCGACATAAACTGAAATGATGCAAAAACCATTCGTTGACCTCTTTATAAATACACAGGGGCACACATCGTTGTTCACATAATTATTTTTCAACAAAAACTCACTCAGCCGGTTGTACCACATTCTACCCGACTGTTTTAAGCCATATAATGACTTTTGTAATTTAATGCTATACATGTTGCGCGTTTCATTTTCCCTTATTTCGGGAACCTTTAATCCTTCAGGGATTTTCATATATATATATTTGTGTCTAATGACCCATATAAATATGCGGTCACGACATCCATTAACTGCATATCTAAATTCATAGTTACTGCCAGAGATATCAAATAGCGGAACGTTATTCCATCCATTACAGGAGAATATGTTTGATCAAAATCAATTCCGGGTCTCTGCGAAAACCCTTGAGCAACTACTCTCGCTTTGTAGCTCACCACATCATTATTTTCATTTCTCTTTCGCACGAACACCCATTTATATCCTACTGGGATAACATTT